TTTGGGGTTCCAGTCACTGCTCCACTTCTGGTCTTGTCCAGGTTTCCACTCTGATTAGACCCTTAGCTTCTATCCTACAACCTAACCCTGCTGACTCCTACATTACTGTTCTACATTCAGATGTCTCTGTAATTGTAATTGCTCATCTTTTTTCATTTACTCAGCTGTTTCCTGAACACCTACTGTGTGTCAGGCATTAGGAATACACAGTCTCCGCCAGCAGGGAGTATCATCAGTACCTTTGTACCTATGAAAATCAGCAATGACTCAGAGATGAAAATATCCAGAGATAAGGGACTGTATGTGAGATGTGGGTGTTCTCACCATTTTGTTTTGTTTTAAATGATGGCATATGTAGGGAGAGAAAGAAATAGAGAAAAGCACCTTTAATAGGGCCTCGTTACACCATGATTTCCCTCCCCCAGTCCTCCAGTTCTCCAGGATCCTGTATGTGCCCCAAATCCATGGTCTCTCCATGGCCTTCAGCCTTGCAGAGCACTTGTGTTACCTCCATGCCCCAGAGACTGGGCTAAGAGAGTATTCTCATTTCAAGCCCTGCTGAATGTGATGGGATCAATTTTCATAAAGCGGAACTTTTCACTCTGTGGCTTTTCCAGAGTTCCTGAGAATTACAGAAACAACTTCTCCCTGTTGGAGCTCCACGTTGTAGAAGGTTTCTCCACAGAATCCCTTTATAATTATACACATAGTTCACCTTTTGTATTTGAAAGAGAAGAGTTTTACAAATGTTTGTTCTCTAACCTATTCTCAGTCTGTTGTACAAGGTGAGAGCCACACAGAGATTTCTCGGTATTATGGATGCAAGGGTATTCACAGATGCTTTAAATGAGAAAGGTGAAAACAAGAAGTCAAAAATGTGCTGGCCGTGTCCATGGAGAGAGCTGAGGTGTGGGAGCTCTGGCCCGAGGTTCTGGGACGCCAGGACTGTGAAGATGTCGGCCTCGTTAGTCCAGACTGTGAGCAAGAGGAAGCTGCAGCCCACTCGGGCCCTCCTCACGCTGACACCTTCAGCAGTAAACAAGATAAAACAACTTAAAAATAAACCTGAGCATGTAGGTGTGAAAGTTGGTGTCCGGACCAGAGGTTGTAATGGCCTTTCTTATACTTTAGAATATACGAAGACAAAGGGAGATTCTGATGAAGAAGTTGTTCAAGATGGAGTCAGAGTGTTCATCAAAAAGACAGCACAGCTAACACTTTTAGGAACAGAAATGAACAAATTATCCAGTGACTTTGTGTTCAGTAACCCAGACAGCAAAGGAACTTGTGGCTGTGGAGAAAACTTTAATATTTGAAACCTCGGGTCTCCTTTAGCTGGAAGCTCCAGGAAAGCTTGGTGACGCCTTAGGACTTACTAAAGAAATTATGTGACTCTTACGTGCTTAAGGTTTGTAATGTGTGTCTGCCTCTGAGGAAAGTAGAGTGATACATTTTGAAAATGAAGCCAGGATATTAGTTTCCAGGAGAAGTGATATTTATTTTCTCTGTAGGAGATAAAAAAAAAAAAATGAAAAGCCATTGCTCCCTTTGTATCATTTCCCTGCATTTAGCTCTCTTGCACCCCTTTTGTTAGAACCTACTGTTCGTTAAATTTCCATTCCTGAAATGAGTTCAGGAAATGGTAAAACAAACAAATAAACAAAAAACAAACAAACAAACAAGAAGTCATCAAGATCTGACCCACAAAACAAAAACAAATTGGGTTTTGTTTTCCTTCATTATTTTTGTTCTTCTGAAATATAATCTGTTCTAATCGCATATGGATTGTTTCATTTGACAAACATATGTGAGGTTTTTTTATGTCACAGGCATCAGGTTCTAGGAATGCAGATGAGGACAACAAAGTCTCAGTCATCAAAGAGTAGTTTAATAGAGGAGATAGGACATGCATCAGGTCACCAGGACCCAGGGAAACCACAAAGGCTATGAAAGATATCTATAAAGTTCAGAGGAAGGAGCACTTACATGTGACTAGAGAACTAAGCAAGTCATCATGAGAGCAATATCCCTGGGCTACAGGTTGAAAGTCATGGATGAAGGATGGGGGTGGACAAGAAGAGTCTCCCTTAGGCTCTGGATGGGTACTGAACTTGATCTTCTCCCTTCAAACCTAAACAAAATTCAACAACAACTGTACCCTTATACAGCTCTCCTACCCCACCTGGAGTTGTCATCTGGTCCTGGCCAGTATACTCACCTCCATCCAGGTCTTAGACATTTGTTCACTCATGCAAATGGAAATCCCTTTGAACCACATCTCAGAGGTGTGCAGCTGAGGAATCCAGTCCTGGGAATTGTGAAACATCCGTATAAATCATCTGCTCCATGGCTGCCCTCCCATAACATGTAGCCTGGAGGCTTCTACTGAGAGATTATAAAAAGCTTCTTCCTTCCTGGCACCATAAGGTCTCCAGATTCCTCCTGGGATATCTTGTTCCCACATCTTCTTCTAGGGTAAGGCTATGTCTGGTTGGAGAGATACTTGGATGTCCCTCATTCAGGTGCTACTAAGGAAGCCCTGACCTCTCCTCTTATCTTTACCCAGGGAGTTGATAAACCAGGTAGGAGAGGTTTGGGGAAGGGCAAAGGGAAGGGAAGTGGGTCCCAAAAAAGGACCCCAAATAATCTAACATGGGAAAAAGCCATAGAAAGTAGAGGGTCAGGGAAGTAGAGAAGAGACATCCAGATTAAAAGTCTCAGGGCAAAGTAAGACTGAGTAAAGAAAGAACAGAGACTGGTTCTCCTTTACAGCTGACTATGATGGGCATCAGCCTGAGAAAATGAAATGTCAGCTTCATTAGATTGCAGTTTTATTTTTTTTAAGGAACAGTATGTTATTATGGGCTGTTGTTACTTGAGTCTCCTGGGAGTTTCTACCAGGGTTCACTTTCCAAAAGTTTAGCCCTTTCAAATCCATTATTTCTCTTCTTGGGATGAATTTCAGCAGGTTTTAAAGACTAGGTTCCATTGTTGACAGCTCCAGCTTGTAGAGAAGAGAATTGGACACCCAGGTCACCTGGTTCCCTAATGTGCTGTATGTTCTTTTTCTTCTAGATTGGATCTGTTAGGCGAGCAATGTCTCAGCAGAAACATCAATCTTGGGAGCCTTCAAATGCTCTGAAATGCTTCCCTGCTCAGGGCTCAAACCCCTGTGTGGCTCCCTGCTCTGCTCCCTGTGTGGCTGCCTGCTCTGCTCCGTGTGATAGTCCTTGTGCAGGATGCTGTCATCTGAGTTCTCAAAAGCCGGGGACTCACAGCCCAGCTCGCCGTAAAAGGACTCGCAGAAAGTGCCGCTGCCTCAGGGGTGGCACCACCTATCCCTGCAAAGAAGAGGAGTGTTAAGGCCAGGCCCTGTGGAGGAGGGGAATAGGGTACTATACCTCTCTCCCCATCTTAACCCTGAATACTAATTTTACTTGGGAGCACAGGCCTCCTACCCCTCATCTGAGCTGAGAAGCATGTCCTTGCCCCAGCACTTGAGAGACCTTTCTGCCTCTCTTCCATCCTCCCTTTCAACTCTCAACAATAAAGCTGCTTTGCTTGGAGTTGTGACTTCTATGATCCTTGAGGCCCCTGCTCAGATGTGCTGAGACCCTTTCAGGTGGATACTGTTCTTCCTCTCTTCCTCCTAAAACAGTTAGTGGTATCTTAAGGATGTTTTGGGATTTGTGTCCTACATTTTCACATTCATCAACCTATACAATGACATAATTCTAACGCTAAAGGCAGCAGAGCAATAAACATGTTAAGAACATACTGTGTACTAGCCTGTGTTTACAGACACAAATAAGAGATTGGACGCTGTTCTAAAGCAGTTTATAATTCAGTGGGAGAAGCAAAGTATAGTCCAGAATTAAACATGTGAATTAAAACATAAAACTTTGAGCTGATTGATTTGCTTATATTTATTTCTCAATTTGTGTTAAAAAAAAAAAAGCTGGAAGCAGAGAGAAGAAAAGCACAAAGGGCAAGGACAACAATGAGAGACTCATTCTGATGATGTAGCTCAAAGGTGGTTTTCTGGGCTCTGGAGGAAGAGACCAGAAATGGCGAGAGTGTCCACTGGGGGTGAGGAGAGCAGGTGTGCTGGGATAGGACGCATTTAAACAAGGCTTTAGAGATAGGTAGGCTTTGCTGCTGGGAGAGGAGGCAGATGAAGGGAGGAGGAAGGATCTTCCGGGTGGGAGATGCAGGAGAAATAAATGCACAGCAACTGTCATCTTTGCCAATGGTGGTGCATTTCATTTTGGCTGGAGTGACATTTGTGAGGTGACAGATGTGGGACAGTTCACAATCCTAATTTCTTACGATAATTCAAAGAGCTGAGTTTACTACAATCATGGTATAAAACCCTTGTTGCCAAAGGATGCTGCCTATGGGGAAAGCATAGACCCACGTCCAGGTCCTAGTGGCCTAGGATGAGAATTAACTATGTTGCACATCATTGTAAATTCCAGTAAATATTTTTGACCAATATTCATTTTCTGGGGGGGTACTGTATATCTGTGGGGGAGGGGGGAAGCTGGGGTGTGTGTTTTAACCAAGTACCCAACCCAATCTCAACCTGATAGATTTTACTGACAAGGCTCAGAATTTTTTTTTTTTTTCTGAGAGGTTTTTGCTATCAGGTACGTGTGCTTGCCAGACAGACAGAGAGAGACAGAGAGACAGAAAGAGAGAAATCGCCCCCCGGGGGGGATGGCCATGCCACAATCCATTCTCCTCCATTCTCCTCTCAGGATCTTGGGCACGCACGCACATGTGCCTGGCAAGAGTTTAAGCCATCGGGTCTGGGACTCGAACTGTGGTCAGCTACATGGGAGTTCGGTGACATAGCCATTATGCTATCTGCTGATCCCAAGGCTCAGAATTTCAACCTATCATTTCCAATATATACAGCGTCCATTTCCAGAGTATGGCATTCCACCTGATGCTGGCATCTAATTTTACCTCTGTTATGACATACATATCTCTCTCTCTCTATATATATATATATATACACCATAATTACAAAACCATAAAGTTTTTTTATGAGTAATTTTTCTAATTAAATAAGTGATGCATTCTTACATAAAGATTTGATTATGTAAATGATTAAGGCTGATCTAAAATCTTACCACCTAAAAATAACCATAGCTAATAAGTCTATAGATAAATCTTATAACCTAAAAAAAATAGCAAATAAGTCTTACAAACGTAAGAAAAATCACAAAATGAAATCACTTCAGAATATTTTATAACCTACTTTGTCTTACTGTTACATAAGACAGTAAAATTTAACAATAAAAGAGTAGTTGTCAATACTTTTTCATGCTAATAAAAATTGACAACACTATTATACTTGGTATTGACACATCATGATTTCTGTAACCAGTAACTTAAAATTGGGCATTTTTATTGTTTCTACTCTTTTGCAACAATAAAATAAACATTCTCATTGATGATTTTTCTTATTTTTTTAGAAGAAATTTTCAGAATTGGAATTCTAGAATTGTAAAAGAACATAGTGTTTGTTTTTTTTTTTTAGATGCTCTCGGAAGATTGTTATTTTGAGAGCAATTAAGTGATCCCACTTAAGAAAATCATTCTTGGGACAGCAGTTGGCGTAATGGTTATGTCGCTGGACTCACTTGTAGTCAACTGCAGTTCGAGTCCCAGACCCAGTGGCTTAAACTCATGCCGGGCGCATGTGCATGCGTGCCCAAGATCCCGAGAGGAGAATGGAGGAGACAGGATTGCGGTGTGGCCATTCCCTCAAGGAGGGGGAGGTGATTTCTCTCTTTCTGTATCTCTGTCTCTCTCTCTCTTTCTGGCAAGCACACACGCCCTATAGCAAAAACCTCTAAAAAAAAAATTATTCTCAAGCAGGAGATTACTTTAGTTAGAGAGAAAGAGTGAATATTGTGTTAAAGGATTATCCCTGTTTACAATGAGTAAGAAAGGGAGGGCTCGTTTTTTTTCATATTATTTATTTTATTTTTTTTACATTTGACCGCTGTACATCTTTACAACATATAAAATGAATTTTCTTTCCATGTAGACACCAAATATTAGTCCAGTCAAAGATATTTCCAAACAAACTATCATCAACAGAAAAAGTTCCACTTGAGTGATGAAACTCTTCCTGAGAACCTTGGCAAGCACCTACTTATTTTACCAACATAAAAATCCATACTTTTACAAAAAGGTTAGATGCATTCTCCTTTTGAGAGGAAAAGGATCCTTTATGTTGTATAAACCAATGAGTTATAAATATTTATATGCTATTGTTTAAACTTCTATATTTAGCTGATAGGCTTTTAACTATAATTTTTAATGTTCAACCTCTTTATGTAAGAGATTTCTGGAAAGGATTCCAATTTCTTGAAGAAAAATACAAAATATAATTAGTTGATTGTGTAAAACTCAATTCACAAGGAGATCTTTTTTCTACATTTTATTTCTGCTACTTATGAAAGATAGACATCCCTCAAGGAACATTAAAAACATTTGACAGAAATCATTTTCTTATATTTTAAAAGCCAGATATATTTTTAAGGATCATATTTATAATAAGTAAATTACATAATAGACTGTAATAGTTTTACTTTGATAAGAACACTACTTATTATTTTGGCCTGCTTGGATTTCTGAAGTCAGTACCTGGATTTCCTGTACTATTCAACCTTTATATTATACATTTATACATACATATACACATACATGTTATTTATTCTATATGAAATCAAGTTCAAAATTACATCAATGAATATAAGTTATCAAGGTAATGATTATTTTTCTTAAAAAGGTCTGAATTTGGTGTCTTTATATTTTTAAAAATATGCCTGTACATCAGAAATGCTGATAAATGTCTTCTGTAGTGTGGCTTTAGTATGGCTTCATTTTAATATTACATGCACATTACATGTTTGTTCTATAGTAACAAGTAATATAAGTATAGACCTTATGTTTTGTACAAAATGTCCTATATACATGGGCTAGCCCTACAGCACTGTGGTTAAGTGCTGCACAGAGGAATCTGGATCCCACATGACTAACCTAGGTTCATAATCCCAACCCCAGCAGTTTGAAACCATGTTTGTTGTTTTGATCTGCATTTCTCTTACGATGAGGGATGTTGAGCATTTTTTCATGTGCCTTTTGGCTATTCATATGTCATCCTTAGAGAGTGTTTTTTTCAACTCATTCTCCCATCTTTCAATAGGGTTGATCGTCATTTTTCCAAACAGCTGCTTGAGTTCCTTGTGTATTCTGGTTATCAGTCCCTTATCTGATGCGTAATTTACAAAAATATTTTCCCATTCTGAGGGCTGTCGATTCACACTAATTACTGTGTCTTTTGCCATGCAGAAACTTCTTAGTCTGATGTAATCCCACTTGTCTATTTTAGGGATTATCGACTGTGCTTTTGGAGATTCCTCAAAAATCTACAAATAGAACTACCATATGATCCAATTCTGTCCTCTTCGGTATCTACTCAAAGGACAGAAGAATTCTTCATTGGAAAAGTGCTTCCACATCGATGTTTATTGCAGCACTATTCACAATTGCTAAGACATGGAACCAACCCAAATGCCCCTGTATGGATGAATGGATTGAAAAACTGTGGCACATATTCTCTATGGAATACTATTCAGCCATAAAAACCAACAAAACCCTGACTTTTGACAGAAAGTAGAAGAATATGGAAGATTTACTCTTCTATAAATAACTAACTAAAATCACTTAATATTTTCATATGCATCTGTAAGGACCCTAGGCCAAATCTTCCATAACAGAGTGAGTTTAAGTTCAGATCTCCATCAGTTAAAACACATTTCAAATCTTTGATAACTCTGTGGTCTTACAGAAATTTTTTGAATTCTGGACACTTCAACATCCCCATCTAAAAATCAAATAAAATAACAGCATCTGCCTTGCAAGACTGTGGAGTGGATTATATATTATATCACAGGTAATATTTCTAGTACTCACTTAACTTAATGAATCTTAGTTATAACTTACATTTTAGGTGTACTCCATTTTTTAAAACAGATCTTTATTTTAGAACAGTTTTAGGTTTACAGAAAAGTTGCAAATACAGTAGAGAATTTCTGTAGACCTGTACCCAGCTTCCCCGGTTACGATCTTAACTTTGGTTAAGATTAATTTTAGCATGTATTATTACATGCAATTATATCTCCTTAGGCTCCTCTTGACTGTGACATTTTCTCAGACTTTCCTTATTTCAGCTGACCCTGACAAGGATAAGATTGTTGGCTTTGGGGAAGAAAATGACAGAAGTAAAGTGACATTTTCATCATATCATATTAAAGTTGTATGCTAACAACATAATATTGACC